GGGCTGTGCGGGCTGACCGTGGACGGCGTGGGCTGACCGTGGGCTGTGCGGGCTGACCGTGGACGGCGTGGGCTGACCGTGGGCTGTGCGGGCTGGCCGTGGCCTGCGGGATGACCGTGGCCTGCGCTCTGCCCCGCTCACTCCCGCCCTGCCTCCAGGGTCGCGTGCAGCACACCCGTCGGGGCTGGAACTAAGCCCCGGGGGGCAGTGTGGCCCCACTCCGGGCCCCACACGTCCTGCCTCCAGGCACTGTCTTTACCACAGTCCCACCTTCTGTTTCTGGCCCCATCTCCAACGAACCTCAAATGGTTCATTTGCCCCCCAGCAGTGGAAATTCATGCTTTGGGTGACCTTTCCCGGGACGTAGAAGCAGTAAAATTAAGCATGGCGTCATCAAACTGCGTGCCTTGCAAAAATCAGATCAGTGTGATCTCCTGTTGGTGTTATGGGTGACATGTCCAATGGTGCAAACTCATCAATGACTTGCTCTCCCCGGACGGGGGATCCTCATGGACCATAACGGCTAGAATATTAAATGCAAGTATCATGCGGCTGCGAGAACTTTGCCCGGGCTCCGGTTTCCCCAGTGAGGAGATTGGCACTGATGCGGGGATCTAAGAAAGGAGGAGCGGGTTTGAGCCGTGTCTTTGAGCCCTTGCTCGGGGACTGGAGTTAATTTTGCAACCTGACCCTGCACTGACGGAAGTCACCCCGACTTTGAGCATCCCTCCTGACCGGCATGGGGCCAGCCCCGGGACTCAGTGGAGTCACCATTTCTACTCGATGCTTCCCATCAGTGGTCCCGCCCCAGGTCTGGGGAGCACGGTGTCTCCCATCCGTGGGCCCTGGACGGGCTTTGTTCACTCACTGGCCAGGGAAGGCTCGGACGTTGCCCTTCTCCAAAGAACAGTCTCGGAGACTCTCCCTGTCCCGTCAGCTGCCGTGACTCCCACTCACTTGAGAGCGTCCTCTCTTCTGCCCAGGCCTTCCCGTTTGTCCCAGTGTCGCCTCGCTGTGCTGCTGGCTATTGCTTCATATGGAAAGAAACGGGAGGCTGGGGACTTCTCCTTTTGTGGTCACTACATCACGAGATGTAGGATCTTGGCCTGGTTGGATCTGATTTATAGCCAGAGGAAAGCTTTTCTCTGAAAGTCTGATTCATTGGCTCCATTTTCTTGGAAGACTGAGCGACAGACACAAAATGCAATGGCCCGTTTTTTTTCTTCTCTCCTTTCTACTTTTTATTCATCCTAGGGAATTGAAGGCAGCTTGCTCATTCGATTCTACGAGGTGAGGTGGTGCTCCTGCAAGGAGAGTCTAGGGGGTGCTTCTGTTCTTCCGGATAGAAAAAAACCTTGTCATTGTGGTAGGTGTTTCTTTCCATGTCGGTGCACATGGACACATGGTGGCTTTAAAACACGCTACAGGTGTTTTTACCAGCTCTCCTATCAAGAGGTGCGGTATGTACCTCCTTCCTTGAGTCTCTGTGGCTTTGACCAATGGAGCACGGCCAAAGTGGCACCA